TATAGACAGTTTCAGCGTGCGTGTGTGTGTGCAAGTGTGTCTGCTTGTCCACTTGTCTGCTTATAGCAAATATTTCTTGCTACTTGTCTGGTCAGTTGCTGCCCAGCGACTTCGTATTTAAAAGGTATTCGCTGCCCATTAGTCATGGCGGCGCAAATTATAAATTGCATTTCGGCATCGCTTATGAAATGTTTTTAAGCAAATAATGTCGCATTATGAAGGAGAGGGAATGTGCAGAAATGGAAAAATAAATAACTTCGCGTGCAGAAATCATTTAAAATGGTGTCAAAGAGGTGTAGGTAATTCGAAGGCAATCTATTTCAAAAAAAATTATTTATATAAAAAATTGTATGCATTTATTTTTTAATACAAATTTATATAAACTTTAGATTTCCCCGCCAATATTTACAAATAAACGTACGACCTTTGTACTATGAACAAACGATTAATATAACTATCGGAAAGGCCAGCGTTCGCCACTGCGTATGAGTAATCCAAAAGAGGTGATTAACATGTTAAGAGCCGGTTGTTCAATGTCTGATTAGCACAAATTGGGGGTAGAAACTCCGGTTAAGTACAACGACTGCTTTATCGAGCACATGTAACATGCATGATGTGGAAATCGTCGATAGTGTAGTGGTAGTGATAACCAGACATTGAACAACCGGCCCTAACTAGGCAACCCAAATTCAAATGAAAAAATAATTCCTGTGAGATTTTGTTGGCAGGCTTGACTGTTTTCGCTTCAGACTACTATTGACTAACAATAAATTTATCGATAACAAAGCTAATAAATATATATATCGGTAACGTTGTAGATAAATATTCCAATGGCGATATTAATGGATAAATAAACAGGAGTATCGGTAAGCATATCGATAACAAAATCGATAGGTCTATATTGTAAACATATCGACCTCTTTGCGCGAATCTATCGTTTTTACCATTTTTTCGATATTTACTTTTTGACTCAAATTTTTTCTATACCCCACAACGCATCACCTGGAAAAATATAGTACCTACCTAAAATCCCTATAGTTACTCCAAAAATTAACTGTATATTTCACCGTATGTTGCAATGAATTTTTTCTTGGGGGCGAAATTGTCGTATACGCCATACAAAAGTTTTCGTACTTAGTAAAAAGTAAATAAAATAAAAAACTTCTAAAAGTTTTTAAGAGCAAAAAACGCTCCTGTAAATTTGGTTGCTGGCTCATACGACGATTACGAAAGTTACAATTGTTTTGCTGAAAATGAATTTTTTTTCTTTGAGATTTACTAGTTTTGTGAAAGCAAAGTATGGCAACACTGGAGCTCTTAAAATTATTCATTTAAAACAAAAGTTATGATCCCGAAATTTTGAAGAAGGAATACACAATGATGGATAAAGGAACACAAATTCGATATACTAATCGATCCAAATTCGGTGATGGCTATACTAGGTCAGACGATCTAAACCTATGTACGTACCAGAAAAGTCTGCTTCTGGCCACATTCTCAACCATATTTCCGGCGTAAGTCTTAGAATTTAAATCCTTAAAACTTTGTTGATCTAATTAGACAGGTATTAATCAAAAGATAACCATGCGGTCATCAGGGATCTATGACTGTGGTTCGTCCAAAAATACACACAAGACCTTTTAAAAAGCAGTAAGATTCTTAATAACGATTTTTAAAACATAAAAGCTGATTAAAGAGATATATAGCTTCCTTTAGAAGACTATCTAGGAGTATGTAAAGGACTACTTAATCTTAGCCGGAAAGGCATACGGATTATTAATGGGCCTCCCAACACTGACACTGGAAATTAGGATACCATATCCTAGAAAGGTATGACCGTCTGTCGATACGTACTGCAGGTTTTCCAGATTGGTGAAGGGTGCCCGAGACCTTAGATATGGCCATTGAAGCCTTCATATTAGTTATTTTATTTATCTATGTTATTAATTATATACTCTAACTGCCATTAGCAAACAATTCGATAACTAAGTATTTCTATTTTTAAAAACTTAATGCTATACTTAAATGACTTTTATACAAATACGGAGGTACATATAAATATTGTAACTAAGTAAGTACACATGTGTGTGCAATTCGTCTAAATAATTCGCAAACATATTTCGCAAGAGTGAACATTAAACTAACAAATTTGTTCATTAAACAAAATGTCAACAACAAAAGAATTAACAAAGCAGTCCACCAGCCACCGACATCGTCTAACGCAAGAGATTTATGCGGAAGCATTTTTTCTGCTGCATGGGCATATAACGCTGAAGATCTGATTTCCAGCCAAAACCGAAAATAAATAGCAACGGCGCACAGTGAAAAAGTCGCCGCTGTAGTGGAAATAGTTATTACTGACAATACTAGTTGGGATGCGGGAAGAGCTGATCGAACCAGGTACCTAGTGCAGGCCAGACGTCCATAGGTCAATGTGGAGGCTGAGTTGTCGCTTGGTTTGAAAGAGGTCGCTTTTATGAAGATGCTTATTACAAAGTGGATGACTCTAATTAAGGTTAAGTGAGTTGAGTGGGTGACGCACAGTGGGGCAAAAAAGGTTGCCGGGGACAAATCAATTTTGAGAGCCCAAATATGCACTGATTTCAAGTTTCTTTTTTTTTTAATAAGAGATAATTAAACTTCGCGTCGATCTATTCATGTCGATTTTTTAAAAAAGCTCTACTTATTTATTTATTTATGTTGAAAAATTAAAGAAAACAAAATTTTACGCTTAAATGCTTCCACTTTTTTTGAAAAATACTTAAAATTAAAAAATGCCTGCAATTATTTAAAAAATTATTCATAAACATTTTACCGTAGGATAAATTTAATTAAAGATGTTTTCAATTGGTTATGTATACAAATATATATATTGAAAGCCGTTTTTTTCTGTTCGAAAAAACTCGGGAACAGCTATACCGTTATTTGTGAAACTTTAAACATGAACTCTACACCCTCCAAGGATGATAATAGAAGAAAAATAATTTCGATATGTCAAGGGGGCGTGGCGCCTCCCATACAAACTGAAGTTTTCACACAACATATCTCTGGAAGTATCCATCGTAGAGTGCTGTAACTTAGTATAGAGATACATAATATCGATGCCAACCTGATGGAAAAAATTCGAGTTATTGAAAAAGAGGGCGTAGCACCTCCCATACAAACTGGATTTCTCACATTAGAATTTGTATGTGGTGTGAGAAATTCAGTTTGTATGGGATGTGCCATGCCCCCTTTTTCAATAAGACCCATTTTGTCCATGAGTTTGGCGTCGATATTATGTATCTCTAGATATTATGTATCTCTAAGTTGCAGCACTATTCGATTAATACTTCCAGAGATATGTTGTGTGAAAACTTCAGTTTGTATGGGGGGCGCCACGCCCCCTTGATATATCGAAATGATTTTTCTCCTTTTATTTTGTTGATCTTAAAATCGATTTGTCCACAGCAGCCTGAATGAGAATCAAAAATTTTGTACGCCCAAGTATGATAGACATTTTATTTTATTTTATTATATGTTGTTTATAAATGAATTATATTTTTATAAATCATACATATGTTTTCAGTCATATGTTTGGTCAAAAATATTGTTCTTCAAAAAAAAAACATGCAAATCCAACGTATATATTAAAAAAAAAATCATTTTTTGTACTTTTTATTATACTAATATTATAGATTTTAAGACGAGAAACACGATTCCACTGTTTAAAAAACGAAAAAAAATGTCAACCCCTCAATTTGGAAACTGCATTATATATTGCATTTTTTTATGATTTGCATGTAGCTGTGCATCCAAGACCTTTATGCTATTCAAGACCTTTAATTTAAGCCAAGGTAGAAGTCTTTGAACTAGGAGATGATGTCAAACGCGCCAGGCAAACTCAACAATGATGGAGGGGAGGGAAGGTGCGGCCAAGATGGTGCGCGTCCTCCAAATTAACCTGCATCACTGCAAAACAGCATCAGCTGCACTGCCTCTCCAGCCCTCTTAAGGCGCTGAAGTCGGCAAAGCACACTATAATAAGTGGATACATATACTATAGGTAAGTACCAATCTAAAAATTTTGTTTCTACCTCAGTTCAGTGACGAGGACTCCACCACTGTCAGAATGGCGGTGAACGGACGACTAGTAAGGCTTGCCTCGATATATCTGGCACATGAAAGGCAAGTTGCCACTTCAACGGTCATGTAGCTAGTCGAGCGCTGGAACTGGGCCCTGATATTAGGAGGTGATGTGAACGCACATCATAGCACATGGGAAGCGGAGACATCAACGAACGGGGTAAGTTACTCTTTGAGTTCATACTAAAATCTGACTTTGTTATAAGCAGTAGGGGTAGCACGCCTACCTTTCTTCTCTGATCACTGCTACATCCAATTCGTCTTATGTAGATGAAGTCTCGTCTGCGGTGCCTCCAAAAGGAAATATAAGAAAATCCGACTGACACAAGTACAGAAAAGAGCGTGATAAGCGGTTCTACCACACTATGAATTGCAAGTAAATCGAAGGGGCTGGTAAAACACTTTACTGCGGCATGTAACAAGACTATATGATAAAGCCGATAGGCAAAAAGAAACCACCTTGGTGCAGTTCAAAGACTGACGAGGCCCACGAATCCTGTCGTAGGGACTTCAGTATCGCGGGAGGCGATACGCAATGGGAAATATAAAACTTAAACTTAAAGGATTACAAGAAATTATTAAGGAAAAGCAAAAGATCCTCATGGAAGGATGCAGTGTTATGGAATCTATATCAGAAGGTTTTAGGCTCAGGAAGGATCCCTCTAATTCCCCTCGTATCGCCCCGGGATGCTTGCTAAGATCCGACGGAGCGCGGACGGAAACTGGGAAGGAATCACTGGGCCATCGTCTGCGCACGCATTTTCGGACCAATCAGAGATAGAGGTCAACCGGAATTTTTTAATTGTTTTGAAAATCTTTTCATACTTTCGTGCGTAACGGAAATAACCATAGCCGTAGGAATAATAATAGCCATGCTGAACGTAAAAAACAAAGCGCGTTTATTCAAATAAATAGTTATCTTAAAACTAAATAATAAGAGCAAAAAACTACTTAAAACTTAAAAGCCTGTACCTCCGATATCCTATAGCACTGTGCTTGCTTGAATGGCACACACTTCTCCAGCAGAAAATCCCAACCATAACCAAAGCTGCAGCGTAAAATACTCAAGTAGCCACGCGAACATCTATAATAGTACTCACAACGTAGTTGATAGGGAAAATACTCATCCACCGCGGGCTGGCAGTGTGGACGATGCGGCACTGTTGTTGATGGCAGCGTATCGACGATCGTTGCGACTGTTACATGTGTTGTTGCTGCGATATTACTAGGTGTTGTACTAGCTGCATTATAATTTGGTGATGCTAATGTTGTTGACTGCTGTTGCACAGATTCGCTCTGTTGCCCCGCGCCTTCAGCGTTTTCCGCAATATATTCGACGCATTTGAAGGAAACATCATCTGTGCACTGTTGCTGTTGTGGATCAAAATATGTGCCAACTGGACATAAATCTGTGAAGGAGTTTTCGCCCATGCAGTAAATGTAGCCGAGACAATTGTTTTCAATGGCTACGAAATTGCCATCGGCTGAATGTTTGCACTCCTTGAAATGTTCAGCAAGTGTTTCTCTAGTGCAAAGACAAAGTAAAACCAATTTTCCAAATGTGGCATGCATATTTGGAAGGCTTTAAATGATTCTTTAATTAATATAATTTTACGAACTTGTGGCTGACTGCTTTCTGATGTCTTCAAAGCATTTTTAGCGCTTATATCTCGATGAATTGAAGGTCACTGGTAAAATTCGATAGTTGAGATCTCTTATCTATTTTCAATGTCGTTATTGGCAAATAAACTATCTATGCGTACCAATGGATGTTGCTATTTTGAACTTCGATTGACTGATATGGCATATTTCCGATAAGAGGCTTTGAACCTATAAAAGTTGAGTTAAACAAATTTAGGTAAAGGCCAATAATAACAGTAAGCAAAACAATTGTAAACATTTACTAAGAAAAAATAATTTGGTGCTTCTAACTGGTAAGAGCGATAAATTGATACCCCCGAAAGCACTTTCGTGTATTCAGTTCTTAAGGCTGAACACATATCGGAGACGTTTTTGCCTTTGCAAACTTTTTGCATAGGTATGCTTTTATTGAACAAGATTATATTTAAACTAATGTACAATAAAACTGCAAAGATAAATTAATTATACGCTAAAAATATAGTATGTATAAAACCGCTTTAGACCTGCAGCATTGGACGCTTTTCCTTTGCATCTAAATTGTCATTGGTCGTAGCGTAACCGGTGCCGCCCTGTGAAAGAACCAAATAACTTAAATCAATGCCTTTTTGTAATTATTGTCACCGAACGTACCCTCTGCAATGGTATAATATCCTTTTCAGTGAGTTTTTGATTTGTCAAAGGGTGTATCATATCTTTTTTAATTAATTTCTCTACACACTCCATAGTTACTACATCGCCGCTGCAAATAAAACATAAATTAGCTCCGTATTATTTCGCAAAACCATTCAAACTCACGTTGGCCGTAACACCGCACATGGCACAGCATTGCTGAGCACATCGTGCGTTACAGGACACATATAACGTGCCTCCTTCGCTATTAGTGAACGGCTGTTATCACCGTCTTTGAGTAATGTAAATTTTATATCAATCAAATCTTTCACTTTTAGAGGCTTCCCGGATACAGGGCAATAAATCGTGGACTCAGGTTTTTTTGCTTTCGCAGCGCCAGCATTTGGACATTCTGAAGGTACCCAAAAACTGGGCAACTTTTTTTCATTCCCATTAGTCATATTGGAGATAGATCCACCAGCAGCGGCTATGGCGGCCGCTGATGTGCTGGGAGTGACAGCCTCAACAGGAGCCGATTTGGAGCCACTTGCATTCTCATTGACTGGTTTTCCGGCATTTACAAACTTTTCAATACATTTCTGTTGCTTGAGGTTCAATTCTTGTGCATTTTCAGTTTCTTCTAAGCGCCGAAGACGTTCATACTCCTTCAGTTTCCGGCTGTATTCATTTTTCTTGGTGATAACATATTGCAAAATGGCTTCCTTATCGAAAAGGTAGCCGTCCTTTGTTACCACCGGATTACGACATGGTTGCAAAGTCAGAGAACAACAATCGAACGATTTTACTGAATCCTTTCCAAGACGTTGGGCTTTGGTTCCATAGCCTGATTCGGCGGCATCGCGACGCTTTTCATTGTAGGTGTATACAGCTCCGGCCGTGCAATTGCGTGCATGTCGAGTCATTTTATTGATTTAATTGTGAACCAGCCTTTTTAAATAACAAAACACAAAACAAGAATCAATATTTTCTAAAGTTTATTCCGAGATGCAGAAAATAGTGGAAGCGCATAAAAACAAAATAAAGAACGTAATTATAATTTACGTTCTGAGAACTAGAAGAAACAGGGCTGCCAAATCATCGGCTTTTACACAATTCAAATTCTCGGCACATTCCCCACAAACGAAATATATATCTTTAAGTTTAGTTCCCTTCCCAAAGCTATTACGATTCTCTGCATCTTTTGTTTATTAAGTGTTAAATAAAATATTAAATATATATTATAAATGAAAAAATTGATTATTAGGGATTATAAAATTTCATTAGATGACGTCAGCTCTTTGGACCGTGGTTGTAAAAAATTTATTTGGTTATTAAAATTTAATCTGCAGTTCAATTCTCATAGCACTTATTTAGATACAAAATCCAAGAAGTCTATTATCGTATTCATGAGTGCTCATTTACACACGGCGATTTTTGTTGCTGCAACTCGACGTTTGCAGGAGAGATCGTGACGAGGAGAGGAGCACCGAGTTGCTCGTGCTCGGGCAACACGCTTTGTGCTCTCGTTCGTCTGTGTAAATTGAGTTAGCGGTTCACAGCTAACAACAACAATTGCATACACAATAATCGTCGTGTGTAAATGAAATGAGCAACACCAAAAGGGAATGTGAAAAATCGTGTCGACAAAAGTTTCCGTGTATAAACGCAGTCTGAGAATACATACTGTGACGAAAAATAAAAAATTGGAATTGTTCGAAATTGTTGTTGCTTGCGATTGAAAATGAAAATGTGTGTGTGAATTTGTGAGTAAATTTAAAAATTAAATTGTTTGGAAACGTCAAGAATTTTAAAAGTTACTCTCAGTGGTTCTACCTTACTATATTTTTATCATGAATCATTTAATACAGAAGATACCAAAAGAATCAAACTCAATAAGGAAATCCTATGAAAATTAATTTGAAAATGTTTATGAAACTTAAATTTTTGTTAGGTAGTTAATAAAGAGCAAATTCCCCAAATTTTTCCACAACATATCGTTCCCCAAACATTACCCACAAAGCTTGAAATTTCATCAATTTTGGGAATTATCCACAAAACGGCACCGCTAATTCCAAATTATCAGAACATAGTGGAAGTGCATAAAAACAAAGTAGAGAACGTAATTATAATTTACGTTCTCTGAAAAAGAATAAACAGGGCTGCCATATCATTGTCCTGTACACAAAGAGCGTAAATATTAGCTCTGATCCAGTACTCCATGAACTTACAGGATTTAACACGAACTTGCAGGAAGTTGCAGGAAAAATGTTCCCGTACTCCAAAATCCTGTAAATGGGAGCGACTTTTGGAGAGTTGTGTAGAGAATGAAGTTGTAAGATTTTACCCGAACTTTTCTTCTGGTAAAATCATGAAAAGTGTCCAGCAATCGCTGGTTGACGTTTTTACAGGAAAAATGTTTTTTTTGTTCCCGTATTTTTTGTTGCTACTCACTTTTTACTCTTACTTCAGAGTAATTTTGCTGTTTAGAGCTATTATTTTTTCTATTATCGCTTCTTTTCTGTTATTTTCACACAAAAAATAAAATGGTACATTACAATCTCTTACCTTTCCTCTCCAAAAACTCTCCCTTCCACTACTCATAATAAAAAGTAAAATCAAGTTGTCTGTGCATATATAACTTTATTAAATAAAAAATTTTTTAAATGGAAATACATTTCAATACTTCGTAGCCGTTAATATAAGAAATACAAACATATACAAAAATACGTTACTAACCTTTGTTATTCTGTTTTATGACTAATAGTGAATATTATTGCACAATTAAAGGCACTCCTTCCCTTTTTCTCTCACCTGTTCCACACATTCTTCAATTATCCTCAATACAACCTCTTTTGTCTCCTCTGAATTAAATGGACAGTCAATAGGCGGCACATGTATGAACAATGTACGATTCCTATTTCTATCCAAAGATTTCAAGTATATATAACCACACAAATAATTGCCTACATCATCAGAACTTTTTGCCACTGTCAGTGGTAGCACCGAATCTGCCCCGGTTGTACTTTCTACGGCTTCGTCTGTAGCTGATGGTATACACTCACACGATTCAGCAACAACTTGAACAATTTTGTCTATGTCCAAACCGCAATGCAAAATTTCATCATCTTTAGTATTAGCTTTACAGTTCTTCAAGCAAGCTGCGCCTTTCGGCAGATGTTTCCGAGCATAATCGGGCCTTGTAAATTTATGATTATATGCCAACTTCTCCACATGTATGCAGGTAGCACTGCCATGGACGCCACAATGTATGACAAGCTTTAAAGGCAAGAAAGTTGCTTGAAAGGAATAATCATCTAATATGAAGCATGTACCTCTGGTTTGCGTGACCATATGTCATCTACAGCTTTGTCCACTGCGCCATACTCTACAGGTACTTCTAATTTGTCCAGCTTATAGTGGTGTCCATGCCAAGTAAGCTCGTCTGGCAGCAGGCGCACAGCTTCCCAACTGGCATTCACATCTTCGTGTCCAACAAAGGGGCCAAAGCCGGTGACGATGATCAATTTTTCTTCTGCTTCCGCTGGTGCTTCAACTGTATTCCCTTGAAGTTGAGCCATTTCTGCAGTACGATGACAACTTAATCTAAATCGGAGCAAAAATGTTACCGAATGTGCCTTTGTTGACTAATTATTACTTTATTTGTATTTATCTAAAATGGGCTTTTATTTATGAGTGCGACGCTTGTCAAACAACCTAACCGTTAGAAGATGCCGCAGGGTATTAAAAACCAAAAATCTAAAAAAAAATAGGTTAAAACAGCGGTGTCACCCTGCATTCGGGCACAGCAAAAACGATAAAGCAGAGAAATGTCAAACCAAATGCCATTCGTGTTGTCATATTTTTGACCTGTGTGAATTCTTGATAGTGGCGTCTGACGTGAAATTTATTGAATAAATAAAAAACGGACTTCGCACTCACCTGGTAGAGGATTTACATTTCACTTGTTAAGCAAATACTTCAGTTTTTACAATAATTCAATATTAAAAGCTCAAAGTCGCAGTAAATTAGTATCAGAAAGGCCACAGGAAAGGTGCCTATAGAACTTTTGTACACACATGGAGATATCGCTTCAAGAAGTTCAATAAATCAGTGCAATCAATAAACCTTATGAATAATTAAATATATCCATTGATGAAACGATAAATGTGTGGGCAGTGCAGGAAGGAGGCAACAAAACAATTGTAAAGTTTACATTTGGAAACAATCTGGGAAACAATACATGTAAGTTATTACATACATACTTTTATATGACCTTTATGATGTCGATTTATGTGGTCCTATTACCGTAATTAAATAAAGGTAATCTTACTAAAGCAGAAAATTGCACTATACCTAATATGTGCAAATAAGTTGCTATACCACAGCTCTCCTCACGATTTCGAGTTTTTAATTTAAATTAAATTAATTTCAAATTTTTAATTCCAGCTTTAAAACAAACCATTTGACGACCTCAAGCTCTTAACAACCTCAAAGCCGCAATACTCTACAATATTTGAAGATGTTTGGCGGTCTGCGTGACTTTATTACACGTCATCGTCGAAAATTTATAGTTACAGGCGTTGTTATTGGAGGCACATTCATAGCAATCAAATATGCACAACGTAAACTCATTGAATTCCAAGAGCGACAAGCACGCGAGTTTTTCGAGAAGACTAGGCGTATGCAGCATTTTGAGTCGACGGAACGCACTTGTAACAAAGTAATCATTGGCATGAGCGCCGAGCTATATGCTGCAATAATACGCGAGTGCAGTACCGATGCCCTGCTCGAGAAGCTGCGTCAAAATCCTCCAAATAAGCTGGAGTTATGGGAAGAAATGAAAATTGTTGCATTCACGAGACTCACCACCTTTATTTATGCCTCCTCAATGCTAGTCATTGCCTTGCGGGTGCAACTAAATCTGCTCGGTGGATATTTGTACCAAGATATTACAACGGAAAAGAAACAAATTTCAGAAGGTCTGAAAGAACAGTACCTGTCAATCATACGACATTTCATACACGAAGGTGGCCTAAGCGAGCTAGTACGCGTGATACGCTCAAAGGTGCTGATGATTATGAAACCATTGCCTTTGACAAAACGTTTCAGCCTTGCCGATATGGAACAACTCTTCTGGACTTTACAAATGGCCATCAACAGTGATGTGTGTGATCCAAATGCGAAAATGGCTACATATTTGCTACCTCCACAGGTGCCAGAGTACAATACAGTCGGGCCACTTTTACAGAAAATGTATAGTGAAACACTGGATCTGCTTGAGAGCGATGACGCCTCATCAGTATGTGCAAATAACATTTGCCGGGGCTTTTCATTGGCCGTAGATGCAATTGCGGAGAATTTGGGTGAAACATTGGCGCTGGCACAGCAGCACGCAGCAAGCACAGAAAAGTCGAAAAATATGGAAAGCGGCGATGTTGCATCAGGAAAAGAAAATAGTGTACTCAATATAAATAGGGCAGAAATGGCACTAGCTAAAATTATACCCATTGTGAGTGGTTTAACTGCGAAGGGATTCGATGAGTCGTCAAGGCCACAAAATTTAGCTACCTCAATGATCACATTCTATGTTGTCGACGAGAAAAGCAAAGTATTCGGCGCGAATGTATATGAAACATTTGGCTCCACATAAGCTATCAAATAAAATTAGGCGCAACAAATGGAATGCCTATAAACCAGAATTGTGCATATGACTGCTTACAAATTTTTTATAAACATATGTACATAATATGTATATTTTCCAACCTATGCGAACAAATATGACTCCATTAGTTTGGAAAAGCACTTTGACAAAGAAGGCTATAAGCGGACTAGTGAGTGGCATTATGAGTTCAAAAATGAGTAGCTTAAGCCAAGAAAGCATTAATTAAAAATAAAAATTGTTGCTTAAAATTAAAGTGAACACCCATTCAGTGCTCTTAAAACTATGGCATTAAATCTCTAGCTGTAAACCGGGATATAAGTTTTTCAGCAAGACAATTTAAAATTTGTTTGTCATACTACAAAATCAGCAAAGCGCTCGTCCTACTTAGCGTAGATTTCATTCCAAAAAAAAAACGAAATAAAGATTTGTGTACTCAATATACATATGTACATACATTCTGCATGTTTCGACGCAATTTATTTATTATTTTATTGTAATAATGATTCTTTGACGCTGTTTAAAAAAAATTATTAATACAGTAACAATGCAGATCATATTATTAACTTTTTAGTGATTGGAAATATAATTCAAATGAATACAGAACTTCTTTCTTGTTGTTTAAATGTCAGTAATAGCAGGCACAGAGAACTTGCACGTTCCGTGGCAAAACGGAAATGGAAATGCCGGGGAATGTTACTAAAACGTGAAGCATGCTTTTGGGCTTATAACGAAGTTCTGGTGCAATAAACGTTTGCAAGTCATTTCGTTCAAAAACATTTTAATCCAAATAAAAAAAATATATATATTTTTCATAAAAGCCAGAGGAACTACGTCGAAATACTACAAAAATTAAATTTAAGTTGAATGTCTACATATTTGCTACCTCCACAGGTGCCAGAGTACAATACAGTCGGGCCACTTTTACAGAAAATGTATAGTGAAACACTGGATCTGCTTGAGAGCGATGACGCCTCATCAGTATGTGCAATGTCAAGTTATATTTAATATTTTCCTTCAGAAATCTTCGCAAAATAAACTATGCAAATTTAGCTAAAAAATATTACATATTTTTACATGATTGATAATCTTATCTCGCATCACGCACAAACATAAGACCAAGATATTGGAAGAACGGCTCTTCATAAAATTAACCCTGTTGCGGTCACTATAGTCAAGTGATTAGAATTGGGATTACAACCAGGGTTGCCAGGCCAGAGTCCCAAAAAAACCGGACACGTTTAGTTTGAAGAAGGGGGAGAGAATGGGGGAGGGAGTTGTGTATGCATGTGTACTTAAACAGATCACATACTCCATAGTTCGTTTAATTTTATTTTTAACACGACTAAATATACTAAAAACTGGACTGTCCGGTAAAAAAGTGGACACCTGGAAACTCTCATTATACTTCGGCAGTAGCTGGGTCCCATGTCAGTGTTAAAGAATGTCTTCTATTTAATGTCGGCTCGCCGCCCGACAGGCACGATGACAAGCTGTGTATGAGATTTATCGTGACTACCTGCCACAATGACTTGACATCACGGTGCTCCTAAGCACAACGGATCAATTCAAATGCCCTGATCAGCGCACTGAAATTCAAGCACTTCATTACCAAATGTCACTGTGTAGTGGACTGGCCAGCTTGGTAGGACGGAAACCTACCTAAAGTCTTTGCCACATTGAACCATTGCTGGTTCTACCCGCTGGCAATGGCAAGTAAAATTTCGACTTAAAACAAAAACACCAAAACACACATCCGAAATTAGATAGCTCTCCTAAGCACACAGCAAAATTTTTCATTTAAACAGTAATTGCGTAAAAAAAATAAACCAGCTGATATCATCCTGATGGTATGTATCATCGCTGTGTTGTTCCTTTAAATTTATGGAAGCTCACTATTTTTTAAATCTATTTCTTTTATTCAGGAACCGAAAATAACCATTAATTCCCAGTGGGAATTAGGAGCACGTAATAATACCTTATTAGCAACTTACTCTTCACCTGGCAGTCATTACCATTTCCCTGCCGAACGTCCCTTACTTTTACAAAGGCATGGCCGCCTTATGTAAGTAGGAATTTAGAATGTACATTTGGTATCAGACATACTTCTGAGCCGCTTTACAAAGTAAGTTACGTGTAATGCAGAGCAGTCGCTCGGAGTAGTTCGGTGCTTGGAAATAACTTCGGCTGCACGTTATTTTGCAACTGACAACGTAATGTGTCTTCGGAGGTGTTCATTTTGCCCTTTACTAGTAGATGACATTGGCCATGATGACAATATTGGTACTAAGAACTGAAAGAAAACATGGCTTACCTCGCAAGGTGCTTACCTATTTTCCGAGTGGGTTACCAAGATTTTTATGTTTAAATTGTTTGCAAATCGTTATTCATTTGACTTTTAGTTTTTCGATTAGGAATAATCGTTAAAAATTGGACTTATATTTTTTCGATAAAAAATAATCGATATTTGGATTTTTTTCGATCATGGTTAACTGCATTTTTATGACTTTTTACGTCTTTTGTGATCGAAAAAATAAAAATCCTAAAATAACGATCGAAAATAAAAATCATAAAATTCCGATTATTTTTAACTGAAAAAAAACTAATCCAATTTTCACTGTTAAATTATGATTTTTGTTACGAAGATCAAAACCGTTTCGTTTCCTAATTTCATTTAAATTTTTTGTAGCGATTTTTTAATAAATTTTACTTTTTCAACAATTTTTTTAAATTCGATTTCAGCTTGCTAGTATATTAATTATTTTATTTTGTTCTATTTTTATTTTAACACAATATATTTCATTTCATTCCATTGTATTTCATTTATAATTTTGTTTCACTTCTTTTTTCATATAGTTTTGTATCACTATTTCATTCTGTTTCATTTCGATTGATTTCATCTCGTTTAATTTCATTTAATTTCGTTTCAATAATTTTTCCCACATTTCGTTTTATTTTATTTTTTTGTTTATCTTATTTGAGTTAATTTTATATCCGCTTCATTGCGTTTAACTTTCATTTCCTTTAATTTTATTTAAATTCTCCCTTCACTTAATTTATTAGCTTTCTCTGCCTTTCATTTCACTTAATTT